TAGCCGCTCCATGCTGGTCTGCTCGTCCTTTCAAGTGGAAATTTCCCATCTATGGAGATCTGGATGTGGTTCAGGCTTCTACCTATGTTGTTGTTGTTAAGTACCGTGGAGTCGTTCTGACTCATAGTGACCCTACACAGGGTTTCCAAGGCTGTAAATCTTTACGGGAGCAGACCACCTCATTTTTCTCCCATGGAACCACTGGTAGTTTCAAACGGCTGACCTTGAGGTTAGCAGCCTGATTCGTAACCACTACGCTAATAGTCTTATGTATTGCAGAGGCTCCGCAGGAAGCCTCCTTCACTAGACATGTTGTATCCCCATTTTAGGTATTCCAATCAGTTATAGGCAGAAGACCGACTTACAAGCTTTCTATGGTGATGTTTCTGGCTATTCCTTTCTCTCCCCCTCCAGTGTCTACGGTTTGGAGTTTTTTGTTTTTGATAGTTGCTCTTGTTGTTAAGTGCTGTTGAGTTGGTTCAAACTCACAGGGACCCAGTATAGGGTTTTCAAGGAGCAGCTGGTGAGTTTGAGCCACCGACCTTGTGATTCAAACCGACCTTGCAGTCCTGTGCTTGATTTTGATTATTGTTGTTGTTCTGAAGTGCCATTGAGTCGGTTCCGACCCATAGCGACCCTATATAGGGTTTCTAAGGAGATTGAACCGCCGACCTTGCAGTTCAAATGGCTTTGCAGTCTGGCGCATTAACCCACAGTGTCAGGCACGTTAATTAAATTTTAATTGTTTTGGGTTTGTTTTTGTTGTTTTTTCCTGAGTGGAAATGTGTTTGTATTTCTCCTGGACAAAGACCTAGGAGTGGAATTTCTGGGGCATCTTTTAAGGCTACTCTTTGAAAACTGACGATGCTATCCTTACTTGTTTATGAATTAGAACTCTTTTTCAACGCCAATATTTAGGGACTGGAGTCCTGGTGTGGCGCTCAGAGTTAATGCGCTAGACTGCAAAGTCGGTTTGAACCGTAGGTCAGTGGTTCAAGCTCACCAGCTGCTCCTAGGAAACCCTATGCAGAGTCTCTATGGGTCGGAACCAACTCGACTGCACTTAACAACAACAACAATTTAAGGATTTGGATCTTGTTTGATGTTTGAACAAAATCCTCCATTTAAATCTTTATGTGTTTTATGATATCCTTGTAGGGGTGCTAGTGATGGTGGTGGCGGTGATGTGCCGTGGAGTCAGTTCCGACTCTTAGCAACCCTGCTTAGGGTTTCTGAGGCTGTAAAGCTTTACTGGAACAGAAAACCTCATCTTTCTCCCACAGAACGGCTGGTACTTTCGAACCGCTGACCTTAAGGTTCGCAGCCCGATTCGTAACCACTGCGCTACCAGAGCTCCTTGTAGTGCTACTCTAAGCAAAATTTGTCAGATGAAGCAAAGTTGTAAAAATGAAGCAAAATAAACTCAGCTTAGCAGGTCAGTTTGAAGACATTCTGTACATTTCTGCTTGCTTGAGACAGTTGGCTAGCAAGCAGGAAGTGGGAAGAGTGGTTGATCCGGTTCTGCAGGGCAGAACTGCCTCCAGAACACACCAGGGCCCAGCCCAAGGCAGGTCCCATTCTCCCAACTGGCCGCCATGCCCCTCCTAGGGCAAGGGCACTTCCTGTCAGCAATGGAGGAGGCTAGATGACCAAATAGGGGCCTGGGAACAGCCTGAGGGCTGGGCTGCCCTGAGTCCAGCTGGGCCTCTGGCCTACCAGCCCTCCCTCACTGTGAGGAGCCCTGGCGGGAAGGGGTACACCAAACAGCCAGACCAGCAGGGTCCCCTTAACCTGGGGCCTTGGTGTTACAGGGAGTGCTAAGCACATCTCTGCCCACCATGAGGGGACTCTTGCTTCCTAGGGATTAAGAATAATCAGGTGAGGCAGGGTTTCCATATGAGCAAAGGTTTATTGTAGGAAAGATACTTGAAAGCAGCCGTTTAGATCTAAACAAAGGCTTTGCTGGGGTTTGAAAGGTCTTGGGGCAAAGACATCATGTTTATCCATTGGGGTAAGGCTGAACCTAGACCTCAGCACTCCTCAAGACTTCTGCTTACAAGATTTCATTTCATAAGTGGCTCATGTTTAATCCTGATTTCTGGATCCCTTCCCCACATCCCACCCCACCCCGTCTCATTGGAGAGCAGGGTTCCTGGAGCCGCGGCCTGGAGGAGAGTGGGCAGGAGTCCCTCGCATCCACGGAGGGCGGTGGGTGGGTGGGGTGGCTAGGCAGTGACTTGTGGGGTTATCTGCTCCTCTGTCTGAGTCCTGCTGGGTGTACTGGGAGGGGGTGGCAAGGGGGAGAAAGTGTCCACCTGAAACTCAGATACCACCTCCCTGAGCAGGCCTGGGAAGTGGGTGTGTCGGCTGCTGTGACCTGCAGCCCCAACTCCCAGACTCCTCCTGGGCACCCAGACTTCTCAGGACAGGGAGCTGGCCCCCCATCAGGAGGCTGGAGGTCTGGGGGGCAGACAGCCGGCTCTTCCCAGGGGTGGGAGTGTTTGACTTTCCCCTTGATGAGCTCTGTGATGTCAGCCCCGGAGCCTCAGTCTGCCCAGTGGGAAAATGGGTGTGGCCTCTAGGATAGTCTGCCTGTGTGTGGGCAGTCCCTACAGATGGTAAGTACCTTCTCTGAACCTCAGTCTCCCTGTCTGTGAAATGGGGAGCTTCCTGCTTCCCCCGCTGGCCCTAGGACTCAAAGAAGGAGTGGTTGGCCAGATGGCATTAGACGGGGCTCGGCAAAGCCACCAGGGTACCTGGGCTGCACTGTTAAGGGTTTCAGATGGTTGTTTTTATTAGGTGCCATCAAGTCCATACAGACTTATAGCGACCCTATGCACAACAGAATGAAACACTGCCCAGTCCTGGGCCAACCTCACAATTGTT